TTTTTTTTTTTTTTTTTTTTTAGCCTTTATTTATCCAGGTTAGTCTCTAATCTATATAATTGGATTTATGATAACAGGCTTTCTACTTTTTGGAATTGGCAGGTATGTGGGATATTGACAAATTAGGAAGACGTCGGCAGACGTTTTGGCAATGGTGAGGATGCCTGCCTTATATGAAGGATTGAACCATGCTTTGAGAGCTCAGACTCAGATGCTTTGCAAGCGAAACCATAGCTGGACGTGATTTCTGAGAATTGCAGACCACTTGCGGCTCCTAGAACTCGCTGTCATGAAGGAATCAACCTTTGAGAAGGCTACAAGAATGGACTGGCGGAATGACCACAAATCTGTCTGTTTGGATTCGCCATTGAGTGTACCAGCAGAAACTATGAAGGCAGACAGGAAATCAGTAGAGTCGGTCTATCCCAAAACAATTGTTGTTTATCTGAAACTGGCATCCTCGCTTGGCCTTGGATAGGCCCACTTATCTCATATTGCTCCTGGAGGATATGTAAATCATGAAGTTCTGCTCTGCAACCATTCAGATGACCTGATTGAACATTGTTGGGATTTTTTCCTTGGATTACTGAGAATGAACTTTGATAAATTGCTCCTCTGAATTGAAAGGAGTCAATTGAGGTGGTTTGGGCATCTGATTACTATGCTTCTCTTTAGAGGTTTTACAGGCATATCCCACTAGTAGGAGGCACCAGGGAAGACTCAGAATATGCTGGAGGGATTGTGTCTTTTCTGTCCTGGGAATGCCTCGGCATCCCCCAGGACAAGCTGTGTTGCTGAGGAGAGGGACGGTTTCTCCTTCTCCCTAGGTTTCTCTCCTGAACCTGTTGCCTCTGCGACCCAACTACAGATCAGCAGTAGATGATGAAGATACACACATGAAGACAGACAGACAGACAGAGAGCTCATAAAGATACAGTAATAACTAAGTGAATCAACTTAAATCTACATATGAAAAAATCTCAAGTACACTTTTTAGTTAAGAAAATGGATGTTTGACCCAGAGTTTAGGAGGTAGGTGCCAAAATGTGTAGACCTTTATATTAGTGCCACCTATGGATTTGAATGTCCTTCTGGTATCAACAGTGTCTGTCCACCTGCCCACCTGGCTGTTTTCCTGAATCAATTAAAGAGGAAACCAGACACCATCAATACTCACAATCTTTGTAAACCGTCTTGATCTCTGTCAGTTCTTCATTATTTCTCGAGCAGACGAGCTCGATGAGAGTTTCCTCGTCAGTTCCTAGTCCCTGAAAAACAAACAGACAGCTTAGTCAGGTTTTATACATTATTCTGATAAAATATTCAACCAGAAATCTCAGTGGGATTAGCCTGGTCAAATAAAGGTTAACAAACAAATGTTTTCTTAAACTGGAAATAATTAGTCTGTTTTTTGCTGGCAGGACCCTGATGAATGCTTTTCTATCCTGTTAAAGGTCCAGATTGTCAGGTCATTCTGAACTGAACACCACGTTGTTCATCGTGAATTTAATTTGATAAACATTTATATAGCAGAATGTTAAAGAAACATGGCCCAGTCAAGGGGATGGTGTGCTCTGCTTTTTGGTAACAGGATATCACACAATTTAGACAAAATATGCAAAAAAGGGAGAAAAATAACAGAGGTCAGGGGAAATTTGGTGAAAAAGAGAAGAAACGGTTACGTACTGTAACCCCAGATTCTATGAGTATAGGCGTAGCCCTTTAAGAGCTGTCGCTGGTGGGTTTTATCTCGTCACACAAAGCGTCGCACTGAAAAATTTAGTCCACGCCCACTTGTCATGTGGGCCCCACCCGGTCCGTATAAATTATGGTGAGAGCGGGTAATCGGCTCCCAAATAGCTTTTTCTTCAGCCATTCAGGAGTCAGTGAGGCCCAGAGTAAAAGGGTTATGCCTATACTCATAGAATCTGGGGTTACAGTACATAACCAACATTCTATTTTGTATAGGCTTTGCCCTTTAAGGCTGTTGCTTGTGGGTTAAGGGCAAAGCAGGATGTGGTCTTCACCTCACGGGGTCCATTCGAACACCGTATGAAGCGCCCGCTTGCACCAAAAAACATTTTATCCCTCAGCCCTCCATGTGCGTAAATACACGCTGCGTAATTACACGCACCATGTACAGGCGTGCGCTGTGTAATTTACGCATTCCGTGTACATGGGCACCCGGAGAGAAAAGTTCTCGACGGGAAAAAGAGGAGAGGCTGAAACAACAGTAAACAGGTTCAAAGTAAATGAACTGATTAGTAATCAAATGTACTGATATGTAACAGTATTCATGAACTAATTAGTGACATTAGAACAAAAACTACCACTCACAAACGTGTGACTGAGAACAAATATCTCACACTGTAATTGCATGCAGTCAGATGTGAATTTAAAACGAAGTTCCATGAAAAACAATGAAATTCATTCTGTTAAGACACCGAGGACAGAATGCGTCATGGAGCAAGCCGCCACATCATGCAGATAGAAGCGAATAAATGAGCTAAACATCTCTATAATGCACAAACAAATGTTGAGTCTGACTCAGTGTGGCTGAGCGTGCTGCGTAACACGCCGACGCAAGCACAGGGCAGAGAAGATGAAAAGATGCTTCTGATTTGTGGGGAGGAGGCAGAGAACCCTCCATGGTCATCATTCTCAATTTAAATGAGCTTGTGATGTTTTAGTCATAAACGCTGTGTTAGGTCTCAGATCAGCTGAAACTCCCACCAGCTTGAAAACCTGAGGAATGACGGAGCAGTAGAGAGAGCAGATAGATCACTCACTCTCTTTGCAGATGTCAAAGCCAACAGCAGGGATGTTTTAAATGACAAGAATTTGCTCAGAAAAACTGTTCTGTCACCAGCGCTTTCATGACAGGAAGAGATGGCTGCAGCATACGTTTTAATTGTGCTGAACGCCAGAGTTCTGTCCATCGGCTGCTGCAGAAAGGAAGGCATGCCACCTAATGGACGTGAGATGGCCCCTACACCTTTTCCCATACACCAGCGTTGGAAAAACTGTCCACTTTGATGTGTACAGTGCTGTGGCGGAGGCAGCGTGCGGATCCTGGATTGTGCGCACTACTTCTTGAGAGAGACCCATCTTCTCTAAGTGGCTCCGCTCAACGGCCAGACCCAAAGATGCTGGCCTATTTCTGGGTGGCTCCTGATCGCTCCTCCTGCCTGGAGGAGAGCATCGTCCCTCCACGGCAGTTTCCACGGACGACCCGATAACAGACGTCACAGGATTGGAAACCACGGGGCGCTCACGCACTCGGGGGCTATCAGAATGGCAGACAGTTCTTCCTCCTGAACTCGGCTCAGAATCCGTGATATTAGAGGGACTGGGAGAAAAGCGTAAAGGAGCATTTTGGGCCATGGGCTGTGGGCAAACGCGTCCACTCCTAAAGGAAGACCATCCTGTGGGTTCAGTGAGAACCATAGTTGGCACTGGGCATTCTCTTGTGTGGCAAATACATCCACTTCTGCCCTGCCAAATTTCTTCCAGATCTGAGAAATCAGCTCGGGATGGAGACTCTAGTCCCCGTGGCGTGGACCGCCCCATGACATTATGTCCACTCCCCTGTTCAGAACGCTGGGGATGTACACTGCTCTGATAGAGAGCAAGTTTTCATGTGCCCAACTCGGCAGCTGTCTCACATTGTGTAACATTTGAGCTGAGCGCACGCCCCCCTGCCGGTTTATGTAAGCTGCAGTCACCTTGTTATCTGTGTGGATCAGAACATGTTGGTTATGCAGCAAGGGAGTGAAATGTTGAATCACATTCAAAACCGTGCGACATTCCAAAACATTTATGTGAGCTGATGTGTGAGCTGGCCACAGCGCCCCCACCGCTCGTGACAGGCACGTTCCTCCCCAACCTGACAGAGACGCATCTGTGAAAACGGAGACGTGTGATGTAGGTCTACTGACGGGGACCCCCCTCCGACAGCGTGAGAGGATTTCCCCATTGTTTCAGGCCAGTTCCCATGGAGGGGGGCACAGAAATCCTCCGTCTCTTCTGCCTTACCTGGTCTATGTGCAGACGAGTGAACCATGTCTGGAGATGTCTCATGTGAAGTAAGCCCAGCGGGACCACCGCGTGAGCTGATGACATTGTTCCTAACAGTTTCATGATGGAGACAGCTGTCAATACTCTGCCGGGTTTTATGTGGCGGAGCTGGTTTTTTAGAGTTTTGGCTTTCGTTTGTGATAAACAGACCCTCATAGTGACAGAGTTTAGCTCCACTCCCAGATAAACGATCATCTGGGCCGGGAGAATCGAGCTCTTCTCCCAGTTTATGGCGAAGCCAAGATTTAACAGGTGTGATGTCAGCGCTTTGGTTTGCGCCGCTGCTTCCTGCCTGGATCGGGTTAGCAACAGCAGATTGTCCAAGTAAAACAGAATTCTCATCCCTGTTCTGTGTACCAGCTGCAGAGCCGTCTCCACACATTTTGAAAACGTGCGTGGTGCGAGGGAGTAACCGAACGGGAGCCTGTTGTATTGGCACTGAGTCCCTTGGAAGGAGAAGCGCAGGAACTTTCTGTGCTTTGGAATGATTGGAATGTGAAAATAAGCATCTTTGAGATCGATGGAGGTAAACCAGTCGTTCTGGTGAATGTTGTTCAACAGCTGTCTGGTTGTCAACATGTGAAACTGTCTCTCCAAAATCGACTTGTTGAAAATGGATAAATCTAAGATGGGTCTCATCCCACTGGTCCGTTTCGGAACCAGGAAGTAACGTGAGTAAAACCCTGTGTTTTCCTCTCCGTTAGGAACCCTGGAAATTACATTTTTTTTACCAGTAGCTCCTGAACTTCTGCATGAAGGGATGAGATCTGTTCTGACGATGACAGAACCATCTTCATAATACCTCTGAAAGGGTGGGAGTTGAGCTACGAACTGTAGCGTGTAACCCTTGCTGATAAGACGATTCATCCAGCTGTTCAGGGAGCACGCTCGCTGCCACTCTGTGTCACACTATGGAAGCGGGCATGCGTTTTTGTGTTGTGTCATGTCTTTTACGGACGCCAGCCAAGTCAAAGCCTCTGTGCCGCTGCCGGACTGCGGGCTCACATCAGAACTGATGTGAGCTGACATGTGCTGAGGGGAGGCGAGCGCATCCTCAGCCATGCGGCGTCGCTTGGGTGGGGGCTGCCACCACTGCAGGGACACGCGTTTGTCTCCGTTGCGGTCAGAAGGGGCAGAACACACCCTGGGCTGAGAGCGAGATTTTCTCCTGGACTTGGTCTGCCGAAAAAAAATTCATTTTTGCTGCTGTGTCCAGCGGGCATTGGGTGTTTTCTCGAGGTGCGGTGACTTTTTAAAAACCTGTTTTGAGGATACCGGCTCGTTTTGTGTGGAGGATGTGTGCGGAGAAGCTGCTGTGAGATCATTCGAACTGACAGTCAGGCTGAAATCAGACACTTTATTCTCTGAATGATGTTTTTGTTTTATTTTAAAACTCGTGTCATCATTGCATACACTCACATCTTCCGCAAGGAGTCATTTCTTAAATCTTCTCCCCCATGAGCCCTGCGGCTGTTTGTTCCAGGGTGGCGCCTGTTGGCAGTCTCTGGGTAGACGCTGAGCTGCTGGTTGCCAGGATGAGAAGGGCTGTTCTCTGGCGGGAGGGAGCCGGTAGCGGGGCGGGAGGACGCTGCTGCAGCTGTGGAGCGTCTCTGGCCACGACGACCCCTCCAGCCGGCGGGGGGGCAGGAGGAGGAGTGCGGCTTCATCAGGTGACGCACAGTCTCTGACACCTCCTCCGACTTCTTCAGTTTTTCGAGCATGGCTTTGAAATTGGCTCCAAACAGCGCGTCCGTCGTGATGGGGCCCTCCAGTAGGTCTTTCTGCAGCTTCTCCGGCGGGAGGGGAAGTGTCGGAGCCAGGTGGACCGCTGGATCATTGTCATCCAGGTGGCGATGCGAGACAGGCAGACAGCAGAGGAGGCACACAGGTTGAACATGATGTCAGATGCCTTGCAGAGTGAGCCCTTTGTCTCCTCAGGCAGGTCTGTTTCCTCCAGCCTCCGAGATGCTGTACGCCAGCAGCGTAACGTTGTTGTTCGCTGCGGCCGCCTGGAAAGCACACTGGTGAGCTCGGTTGGAGAGCGATGTGACCGTCTGGTCATGCTTCCCCGGAGGCACAGGATGCTGGTCCAACCTGGACACTTTTGCTCTGAGAGTTTCCACTAGGCTTGGCTCCGGGGGGGTACCGAGGGGAAATTCCGCTCAGTAAACCCCTCCACTCTGGTGATGGGCGTGAAGGTGGAGACGGGCGCTCTCAATTTACCAGGTCCGGCCGCAGCCTTGTTCCAGTAGGACGTCACTGCTGTGAAGCGAGGCCAGATGGGGTAAGGGCGGCGGGCCGGGGTGGAGCCAAACCTTCCCGCGAGATCATCCAATCTGGGCATGGGGAGGAGAGGGACGGAAAGTCCCTTCGTGTCAGCCGCCTCCCAGATTATGTCGGGCAGCTCCGAGAGGAGGGCACCGACGGCTGGGAGCGGTGTGGTCACTGAAGCGGAAAGGCCCGGGAGGGGTGAGCATCTGCTCGGCCCCTCCCATTCCAAGACTACGCTCTCTGGGAGGGAATGAGCAGCGGAGCTGCTGCTGACGTCGCCTGTCCCGGAGGAACCATCTGATTCGCTCTGAGACCCGACGTCAAAAAAATTCAATGGCGTCGTCCAGCGAGCAGTCTCCCGCCACGGAAAGACACTCCTCAATCTTAGCCTTAAACAAGGCTGCTCGCCACTGCCTTTCCTCTGGGGGGAGGAGGTCACAGAGGCGGCAGGAGGAGGTAAGGTCGGCATGGCGGGGACCTAGGCATCCTTCGCAGGTGTTGTGCCGATCAACACTCAGCATGTAGCCAGTCTTGCATGACGGGCACAGGCGGATGGTGTTGGTGCTGGACATTGCGTTGTTGGAAGATTAGTGCTAGTTGCTTGCTGAAGAAAAATGGGAGCCGATTACCCGCTCTCAACGTAATTTATATGGACCGGGTGGGGCCCACATGACAGGTGGGCGTGGACTAAATTTTTTAGTGCGACGCTTTGCATGACGGGATAAAACCCACAAGCAACAGCCTTAAAGGGCGAAGCCTATACGAAATAGAACTCCAGTTTTGTTTGGATCAGACTTCACAGAACCATCATCAGAAATTAAACGAGTCACAGAAAGTTACATGATTAAACAGCTGTTTTCAGATCTGTTACAGTTTTAACACAATTAGTTTGTATCGTGAACATTAAAGATTTCACCATGTTTAACATATAACAGTTGATGACATCACACTAACTAAATGTTTCTAACTTTTTGAAGACAAACTCTTCTTCCTGTCACACTTCTTATTTGGTACAAAATACAAGTTCTACATCAAAACATAGGTATTTTTCTTCTTTTATGCAGTGTGTTTCACTGCTGTAGGACTGATGCCATCTTCAAGAAGGTTTGATTCCTCTTGATCGATCGAGGGTTTACTGTGGAAACCTGAACACTAATGTGGGCCAAGAATGTGGAAAATGTGTGTTTTTAAACAGTAACTGAGGGTTATCTAACGAGGTTAGGTCAGGTCCTCTTGACAGATTCTTTTTTGTGGAAACATTTCTTCTTTTACCCAAAATACTTATTCAGTCTGAGGAGCTGCAACAAACTCAGTCTTATAAACAGCACTTTCTCAAAGTGGATCAACCAGTTTGTTGCTGACATCCAGAACTAGCTGTTCACATGATAAAGAGGACCATCGGTCAAGTGACCGTTAGTGCCCTGATGGCTGTTTGCTATTCACAGGGGACTGAGTGATACTAGCAATAACAGCATTGTAAGAGGGGGACAGTTGAACCCGGAGGCCTCCACCCCTGTTTAATGATGGACGGTTTCTTTTCATAAAGATGGCCTCCTTTACTCCTCTCTCAAACCATCGTTCTTCTCTATCCAGGATGTGAACATCTTCATCCCTGAAAGAGTGACCACTGGCCTGGAGATGAGTGTAGACCGCAGAATCCTGGCCTGATGATGTTGATCTTCTGTGCTGGGCCATCCTTTTGGCCAGTGGCTGTTTAGTTTCCCCGATGTAAGACTGATCACAGCCCTCCTGACACTGAACAGCATACACAATATTACTCTGTTTGTGCCAGGGACTGGGTCTTTAGGATGAACCAGTCTTTGCTGTAATGTATTTTGGGGTTTGAAAGCCACTGGGACGTTGTGTTCAGAAAATAAACGTCTCAGTTTACAGAATGTCCACTGGTCTGGGTCTGGTGGATTATTGAGTATGCATCAGGACGTCTGAGAGTTACTTTTTAAACTGTGTTTCTGTTCAACTCTCATTAACTTGGCATTCATGGAGTGTTTTATCTAGGTTCTCTTTACACTTCTTACATAGTTCATAAATCAAAATGTGGCTTTTTTAAAACTTAGATTAATACATTCTGTTGAAGTTTTTGTAGCTTGGAGCCCTCCATGCTTCTGCAGAAACCTTCTAGTTTAGTTTGATTCTCCAGATCTGCATCGTGCCCTCACTGAGGCCCGACGAACACCAGCATGTCTGCAGGTTTGGGACACTGACCTTCATGGAGGCCTTGAGCTCCGAAGCATCGTACTGGGTGGTGCTCTTCATCAGACCCAACATGAGAGCCTCCAGAGGGCCGGAGAGCGCACCCTTCAGAGCCGTGATCAGATCCTGAAAACGTTCAAAGACTTTTAAACATCTCGATGAGCCAACTTTTACAAACAAACAGTTCATTTAACTCTTCAGTGTGTTTCTGCTGCAGGACAGACTCAGGTCTGCAGTTTAATCTGGATTACCCACTGAGAGGAGCTGAAGGGATGAAGTGTAATTCAGATAAAATTCAAATGATTCAAGCTTTTAATTCTTCATGTAAAATACTTTCCCTTCACTCATCTGAGTCATCGTTCACACTCCTGTGTTCCTGTTTCCTTCCATACGCTTTTATAAAAGTCAGCCTGCTTTAAGTTTTCATGTCAAACTGTTTTTCTCAGGAACCTTTGGTTTTTATAACTTTTATACTTTCTGAACTTTATAACTTTATTTTACGTTTTCCCATTGAAATACAGTCAGATCTCATCAATTCCTTTTATTTATTTCAGTTCTCTGCTTCAGCAAACTTGTTCTGTTTTTACCTATCTGTGTTCATTTTAACTTCTGTTTTGCTGATTTTCAACTTTAACAAATCAGTTGAACAGCTGGTTGATCCAGTGGGACTGTGTGCATTCAGACACAAAGATCAGAAGAGGTTAGACCTTGAATGACCTTGATCAAAAAGGGCACGGGTTGTGCTCGCTCCAGTGTTTAGTCCAAACCAGAGATACAACCAGATAATAAATATATATATATACATATATATATAGTAAATGGAATGTACTTATGTAGTGCCTTTCTATCTTATTTCAAGATACTCAAAGCACTTTACAACACAATCTGTGCCTCATTTACCCTTTCATACAGCACTCTACTAGATCTCTACAAAGCTAATTGAACAAATAATTCTAAAGAGACTAATAAGAGCTTTATCACATTCAAACACCGATGGGACACACATCGGAGTCTATAAGGGGTTCAGTGTCTTGCCCAGGAACACTTCGGCATGTGACTGCTGGTGGATTCGAACCCTCAACTCTCGCATTGGAGGACGACTGCTCTACCCACTCAGCCACTGCTGCCACACACGTATGTATGTATGTATGTATGTATGTATGTATGTATGTATGTATGTACTGTATGTATGTATGTAGGTAGATTTTAATATACATTTGAACCAGGGCAGCACGGTGGCGCAACTGGTAGAGCTGCTGCCTCTCAGCCAGCAGGTCCTTGGTTCAAACCCCGGTCCAGGGGCCTTTCTGGGTGGAGTTTGCATGTTCTCTCCATGCATGCGTGGGTTTTCTTCGGGTGCTCCGGTTTCCTCCCACAGACCAAAAACATGCATGTTAGGTTGATTGGTAACTCTAAATTGTCCCTAGGTGTGAGTGAGAGAGTGAATGTTTGTTTGTCTCGTTTGTCTCTATGTGGCCCTGTGATGGACTTGCGACCCGTCCAGGGTGTACCCCGCCCCTCGCACAGTGATTGCTGGACATGGGGACCAGCGACCTCCGTGACCCAAAATGGAATAAGCGAGTAAAGATAATGGATGGATAGATGGATGGATATTGGAACCACCATCCACATACCATTGAAACACACAATCATGCTGTCACATTGATCCTTCATCAAGGCACTAGAATAGAATAGAAACAGCCTTTATTGTCCCACAGTTCAAGTGTAACAGCAGCAACAGAGTAAAAAAACACATCTGAATATATTTTTAAAATAAATATTGTATTTGAATTAACAGTAGCGAGAAAATACCTAGAAGGTCAACTCAATTGGACAGTTTTTGGTCCAGGCTATGTACTGTAGGTGAAGGAAAGCAAATATAATTATAATACCAGAAACATTATAATCTTCTCTGACTTGTCTCTGAAATGTTAGTTTACTTAAAACTTCGTGGTTTGGTGATTAAATCATTTTTTTCAGCATGGATGTTTGTGAGACGTTTCAGTTCATCGAAAAGGAAACTTTTTTCTACCTTTTTAGAGATCCGTTCAAACTCGAATGCGATCTGTCTTCGCTGCTCGTAGCTGCGTCTGGTCAGAATATCAGTGATGGTCTGTTCATCAACTCCTGCAAACACAATGAAGACGTTAACCTCTGATGTCATCCAGATCCATTCATACCACCAGTCAGACGTCAGTCTAAGTGTTAGGGAGGTTCCATGAACATCTCACCTTTAGTTTTCATGGCTGTATCAATTCTGGCAGCATCTCTGGTCGGGTCAAAGTCTCGTACCGGCACCACTGTGGGATATTTGGGCTCCTCTTCCTGCAGAGGACACACACAGAGAGGCTCACTGAAAGGCTCACTCCCGTGACAACTGAGACCAAACTACAAGGACCAGAGAGACCAAACTACAGTGAACCTTGAGGCCAAAGGCGACATGGCGAGCTGTAAATATAAATGTTCAGATCTTCTGCTCTGAGTTTTAAAATGTTATCAGAAGATGTTTGATGTCTGGTCCATATAACCTGTGTTCTACACGGTAGTTTAATTTGTAGAACTACAGTTTATCATGTTCATTCAAACACCAACAAAACTGTTTTCACTGAGGTCAGGGTCTGGTCAGGGTACGAAGTTATGTACGTCAGGATGTTTTTAATCAGGGTATGAAAGTCTTTACATGAACAGTATGTGGAAAGTGTTACATGTTCCTTATTACCAGATGTTTTATGTCAAGGGTAGAGGTTCTGTGGTTGTTCCTTTATGCCTGATTATGATGATGAAGATTGTCAGTCATCCAGGACATGATAAATTCAAAAAACGTATAATACAAAAACAACTGGACTTTATTTCTAACAGAAGACGTTTCGCTCCTCATCCGAGGAGCTTTCTCAATTCAATGAGCAGTAAGTGAGAGATTCAGGTTATAAGGCTGAGTGAGATAAGATACCCACACATATGTAGATTTGACAAGTCACACCTCAACACCTTAACAGTAGGGGGTTTCTTAAGGTCTTTGTTACTATAATGTAACACCTCTGAGACCCCTCTGTTACCATCAAGTATGAAAACCGGCTGGGAATCTGTCTTAAAGTTGCATTATAGGTTTTTGAAAGTGGAAATCTGAGGCCTCCTCCTCTGTTAAGAGATGGCTTTTCCCTTTTTACATAAATTGTTTCCTTCACCCCCCTCTCAAACCATCTGTGTTCTCGGTCCAAAATGTGCACATTTTGGTCCTCAAAAGAGTGTCCCTTCTCTGTGAGGTGGAGGTGAACAGCTGAATCTTGTCGAGCTGGCTCTCCTGTGTTGAGCCATGCGTCTGTGAAGAGGCTGTTTAGTTTCCCCAATGTAGAGGTCTGGACAGTCCTCGCTGCGTTGGACCGCATACAGTACACCAGTCTGTTTGTGTATGGGTGTTTTGTCCTCAGGGTGGATCAGCCTTTGTCTGAGGTTGTTTTCACACCTGATAGTCCGGTGGACTCGGTTCGGTTGGGGACCAAAATTCATGACATTTTGAGTGTTTGCATTCACACTGTACTATGCAGTCGAGCCAACCTGTTGAACCAACCTATTCCTCCGCTCGCCTGTGGGGGCGCTGCACCAAGAACTACTGAAAGAAACAACACAAAAACTTCTCTGAAGACACTTATTCTTCTTCTGGAAATAAAAACAAAAACGGAGTGGCATCATGTTTTAGCAGTTTTTTAGCAGTCTGGGGGCCTTTCTGGATGGAGTTTGCATGTTCTCTCCGTGCATGCGTGGGTTTTTTTCCATGTACTCCGGTTTCCTCCCACAGACCAAAAACATGTATGTTAGACTGATTGGTTACTCTAAATTGTCTCTAGGTGTGAGAGAGTGAATGGTTGTTTGTCTTGTTTGTCTCCATGTGTCCCTGTGATGGACTGGAGACCTGTCCATGGTGTACCCCGCCCCTCACACAGTGATTGCTGGACATGGGCACCAGCAACCCCCGTGACCCAAAATGGAAGAAGCGGGTAAAAGATAATGGATGGATGTTCTGAGTCAGGGTCAGAAGTCTTCGTCTGAATGTCTTTGGTTAGGGTTTGCCTTGTTAAATAAAGATTAATAAATGGGGTTAGACTTTTTGTACATCTTTGTGCTGTTTGTCTTCCGTGAGTTCAGATTTTGCTCAAACAGAACAGAAATGTGAAATTTGTCTGATTCTACATTTTGTTTCAGACCCAAATGAAAAAAATTAGATTTACGGAGGAATCTAACTGTGATTCATTTTCTTCTGTCGTTTGGAGACGCGCCCTACAAACTGCTGCAGGTTAGACATATCTGTGTAGAGTTAAAGCTCAAAGTCTCAGTTTATCAGCTCTCTGGTTGTTCAGATGACAGTGAGTAGATAACACACATCTTTATGACAATAATAAAACTATGTTGAGCCTTTCAGAGTTTTATCATAAAGAAATGTGAACTGTTTGACTCTCAGCTGAGATCATCTCATTAAAGCACGCATCAGAAACAAAATGTTCAACGTAGTTTATTTTGTTTCATTTTTCTGCACTGGAACAAATTTTCATGTGCTGATTATTAAAGTCAATGGTATGAACTTGTGTTGATTGAAACATTCATAGTTAAAACCTTTATGCGTTTTATTTGCTTTACAGTCAAAATCAAACATTGTTGTGACACAGATCCAAGTGGGATCTTTAAAGTTGAGCTAAAAATAGCTGTCAAGAGAAAAAACTAGTTAATTTAATACCATGATGTGTATTTCAACTCAGTTTATTTAAATGTAGCCCATGAAAAGGATTTGGAATCTTAATACTGCAGGGTAATTTTTTAGGGGGCAATTTAATTTGGCTTTATTTAGCTGAAAATACAATTCTGAGGCAATTTTCATAAAGGTCCCACACTAAGAGTTGCTCCTAATGAAACTTTAGTTATAAAATTGGCCTATAAATGGCAGCTCTAAAAATAATAGTTCCAGTTCATACACAGTCCCCATGAAATGTGCTGTTTGTGTAATTCAAGTCATTTATTGTCTGTGAGAGAAGTTTGTCAAAAATCAAGGAATGTGTGAGTAAACGGAAACAACTGGATGGTATACAACAAAGTACTGCCACTGAACTCTTTGAGAGTTGCAAAGAATCACCTCAAGTTTATGACTTTCCAAAACATGGGGTATTCTGTGCAGTGCACTGATCAGACTTGGACAGAAGGGCCATACACCTGATGACTTCTGCATGGCCACACTGCCATGAAAGCATGCCAGACCATATTTACCTGTTACAACTGAGCCCCCACCCCCTCATGTGTAGCTTGAATAGTGCATAATCTGCACTGGGGGGATCATTTAGGGTCCCTCATAAAAAAAAAAAAATTATAAAAAAAAAAAACCTGCGCTAGGGAAAGGCTGTCTCAATGTGAATCTGTCCGGTGAGTGAGAAAACACCTGAAGTGGGATGGCCACAGACTTAAGATGTCCGTAAAATGAGTTTTAAAATAAAACGTCCAAATGAAGTCCTGCCCAGAATATAACTACCATTAAATATTAGTCTCTCTTTTTATTACTACGATGCAATGCCTGTCAGCTGAACAATGTTTAAATCACGTCTTCATGTCAAAATACTGATGGAACAACATCAGAACCGCCCAGGTGACCACCACCTGAACTTTACTATTAGTTACTACAATATAAACTTTACTATTATACCTGAAACTAAAATGACCCGAAGACTTCGTCTGAAACTGAATGTTGATCTGTGTGGGTGGGCCTCAGGAAGTTGGCTGTTGGGGACCATTTTCCTAAAAACTGCAACAAGGTTCCATGTCCCTGTCACGCTCAGCGGCCCCCGCTGCCCCCCCATCTGCCTAAGCCTCTGCTCCTCATATCACAGCCCCTGTTTTAAGATCATTCATGTTTTTTCCTGCCTCAGTTTCTGTTTATTTCATCCTGTTTGGTCCTGCACTACCTATCACCCATTTTCTGCTCCTGTCACTCTCTCTCAGCAATCTGCACTCATCTGCTGCACCCTGTCTCTGCAATCACCACTCACCTGCCACACCTGTTCAGTTCACTATTTAAGCTCCCTGTTTCTCTTCAGTCGGTGCCAGATAATTATAGGTTCTTCCCATAGATATCCAGCGTTCCCTCTTCATGTCACAGTATTCAACCATAGTTTTGCCCACGACCTCTCGTTCTCGCCTTTGCCCCCGTACTGGATTCCTCGCCTATATCTGACCATATTGACGACTGTTTTTGCTCCTTGACCACGATTTTTGGATTCTCCTTTTGGTTCTTCTGCCTGGCTGCATTCCTCTCTGGTTTTGACACTTGCCTGCCCCTGGATAAAGTTCTGCTGCCTAAACTCCTCAGCTTCACAGCTCGCCCATCCAGCCTCACTACTTGTTAGTGCTCACACTGCGCGATGCTGCTCTGTGCGCCCTTGCGCATGTTACTGGCTCCTGAGATTCGG